TGAATCTTTCTCTGAAAGGCAGACATCTGTTCAGTGCTTTTATCCAAGTCTCATATTTTCCTTTCTTTTCACAAAACCAAGGATTCCATCCAAAAAGTAATTTTCATGGAAGATGTTTGCCCAGGCAGAGGTAGACTTTGGATGCTATTGTCTGGACAAAGAAGAAATGCTGTGTTTTGACCAAGCTGCTGCAGACTTCTATAGAAAAACAAAAGAAGACTTGCCCTGTGTGGTGGGAGAAGCCACCTTACAGAGTTCTAGAGGTCTTAATGGTCTTAAATTTAATTCATTAAAGAAAGGTAAAGAGTTAATGTAGTGCTAACAGTGTGTTAGTCAAGTTCAGAGTACACCTAACAAATCAGTAGGCAGAGAATTCAGATGTGGGATGCCAGGTTTCTGAACCCCAAATTGCTTTATTTGGGCAGCAAACAGGTGGAACAAGATACAGTTCCCCTCACATTGGAGATGAAATTAAGTGTCCACTCTAAGCTGCACACTCAGTAAAGCTCCTTGCACACGCAGCAGGGAGGCAGAAGCCTCCATGGATCAGTCAGGTAATCTTAAACTACATGTCTGAGCTATGTGGAAGTAGTCACCATTAGACAAGAGGACAAGTGAAAACCTTTAATATCTGATTGTAAGTGGCTAATGTCAGGTGTATAGAGTCACCCTAGATCTTTATCTCCAGCAAGATTACTGTGGAAGTGACAAGTGCAACAGAAGGATTTCAGGGTGGCAAAGGTGTATAACTGGCAAGCAAAGGAAATTGTAGGCTCAGACATCTGCAGGAAACAAGTGATTTTAACTTCTGTTTTCAAGTGATATGGGTTCCTTTTCATTCCAAGCTGCACTTCAGTTGAAGAACCACCATTTTGGAACTGGCAGGCCATAGGAATCTGACTCTTAGAATTAATTAACAAGCACACTTATGTTTGGGTTTTGATTTGACAGGTTTCAAAATCTATTCTGTAAAATAAAATTCCTCCAGAGGTATCTATTTCTTTCTATTGATTATAATAGAAGCTTAAATGACAAACACTTAGATGACAACCTCAGACATAGTTCCTTAAATTCTGGATGTCTCAAATTAGGTAAGATGAGTCCTACCTCAGGCATTCAGTGGAATTAGGGGTATCTCTACTGTAATTAGTGAAAGCGACAGGCATGCCCAGAAGGTGATTTAGCCCATACTAGTACAGATAGATAAAGGGAAGAATGCAGAAACCTCTAGAAATGTTTCTCTCTCTCTCCTTTCCATAGGAATCTTAGAAGATGTTTAGAGTAGATTTCAAACTTTGAGACTGTTAAATCTAAATCAAATAAATCACACTCTTCATTTCTTCTCATCTTTATGCATAAAATGTAGATAATACTGTTTTACCCCTTCCAGGAATTAATTCATAACAAAAGAAATTCTGAGGTGCCACAGTAGGTGAGATGGTAAAAAAGGTTCAACGGTAATATAATTTTCAACCCTGTGTACTTTCTGGGTAGGATAAAGGCTGCTGCCATTTAGGTATGCATGCTGAAGTGTAGAGGAGGGTTTATTCTGAGTGGGTGGATGGACAAGACCGTATCTTAGATGTGTTAGAAGTGTTGTGTGGAATGACTCTTCAACACTTGGCTGTTTCCCAGATATGAAGACAGGAAGAGAAGGAGAAAACCAAGCTGAAGATGATGTCTAGGTAGGAGCATGACTGACAGGTAGGATGATAATGTTGTCCACAGTGATTGAGAATGGAGGTGGAGGAGAGAGGAGGCAGGGTTTAGGAAAAAAAGTTGAAGAGCTGTTTTTTATATATTGAGCTTGATCTGACAGCTAGGCATCCACTAGGAGATGCTGGAAAGCCAGGCCAAGATTTTAGTTGTGCACGAGTCAGTCCTGCAGGAGAGAATTTAGATCTACAAGCTGTCACTATAAAAATAGTAACTGAGTTTGTGTTGGTGGATAAGGCTGCTAGGGACAAGACTTGGATGAAGAATGGAAGTGAATCATGTGAAGAGACCTGTTTATGGCCCCATATGGATGGGTAAGAGAGACAGGAGGCAACAGAGTAACCAAAGCTAAAACTACAAGGCATATAATTGTTATAAATACATGCAAAATTACAGGAAATTTATGATCTTTCATAAATGAGGACATGGAGAGCAAGTAAAACACTGTTCTAAAGCTGTTGATTTGATAGGCAATATGATTAAAAAAAAAAAAAAAACAAAATTTCTCTTGACAGGTAGATACAGAGGGAACTTTGGGCCTGCTCAAAAGTAAAGGATTTTGGGAAAGGTATTTCTAAAAGCAATTGATTGTGTGAATATTGGAAAGCTGTAGACCTGTTTGGTGGGCCCTTAGGAGAAACAAGTGCCTTGAATTGGGAAGTGGGCTTGTGATGGGTGGCAGTCAGGCACCTGTCCAATGAAAGGTTAATAAATAAACAAACAAACAAAAAAACCCACAAAAAACTTTCATAAAAGAAAGTTGCTTTTTGAAACTATTAGGCAACATATGTTGTGTGAACAGGAAGTCACAGAAGAGCAATAATCCTGACAGCTGTGGAGAAACAGGAGTCTGCTGCAGGAGTGAACGGCTCGAGACCTGACAAGAATGATGATGGACGCCCCGTTGGTAGTACATGAGGACAAGGCAAGAGACATTTAAATTGGCTGAACCACAGGAACAAGTTTGAGTTGGCATCACAGCCGGACAAATAAGGCCAATCCTAATGGACAAAGAAATGTGAGGGGGGACTGAAGGAAAATGGCAGCAATGCACCTCACTTTTCCAAGGACGAGGTCTACATCGCCATCTCACCACGAGGTGGCTGCATTTCTCTGTTAACATCCAAGCCCTGAAAGAAGCTGCACGCCCTGAAGCACCATGAAAATTAGAATGGGAACAGAGATAATTTTCAGGATTTGGCCCATCTCAATCAAAGTGTCTTAGAAATTTTGAGGGCCTGTGGGAAAAACAGTGTGTGCTCCATGTCTTGATCAAGAGATCATCACTAGAAAGGTTGTCACTAGTCTGCTGAGCCATGGTAAGTGTCTGTGTGCCTGCTCATAGCTCATGGGAAATACAAAGCAATGCTGCAAAACTTAGCTTACAATGAAGAGGATGAAATTAATAATTCTCTACTTTTCCTTATGCACACTTGTCAAGCCATGGAAACTTGTGAGCCTGGGATATGCATCTAGTAAGGGTTAAATTGTGATGCTATTTCAGAAGCCCAGATCTGGTTATACAAGAACATTTCAATAACAGGTATTTGAATCAAATAAGTCAACAAGAAGAATGGTCCAATAAAAAACGACCCATGAAATGGCCAAATTCTTCATTGTTTTGCACATACTAAGATCAGTTGACATCAGCAGAAAAGAACACAAATTTATTCCCTAGTGGTGAACAGATGAGTGATTTTTTCTTATCTAGAGTGTGCTGAAAGTAGGAAGGATAAGGTCTGGGGATATTTTAGGTATACTAGATCTAAATAAAATCTTCAACTATCCTTGGGTTTTGTCTGTTTTCTCCCATCTTCCTCTCACCTCTGTCATGTGAGTTTGTATGATTTTTGGGACAAGGACTGACTTTTTATTACACCTTTTTGCGGTACCACACCCTATGGAACTGCAATTCCTGATGTCAGTTTATAGACACTATCATTTCGGTTCGAAGTTTGAAAGTCATTAAAAGTACCTCTTTGACCTGTCTCAGGAAAGTTGTTCATAGTATTTCACTATGGGGTGTCAGTTTCAAGTCTAACTTCTGGTTTTGTTAGAAGGAATCTTTTAGGAAGAGACTCCTAAAAGTATTGTAATACTTCAAAAAATTGAGACCTTCTGTTTTTAAAGAGATTTTTTTCAGTAGTATCACTGGTAAACATGTACCATTTTTAAACTTATTTGTTTAGGACAAGGTTCCAAAAAATGAGATCTTGATGATTTGCTACATTTAGAAACCTTCCCCCTGCAAAGAATTTTCCATTTTTGTCCCTGAAAAGATCTAGAGACAATCTTCCAGGCCCACTTTAAACTTATTTGGATAAATTCATGAATTTACATTAGAGTCTCTTACTGAAAGGGAGATTTTACACTCTTAAATATTTTTTATTGAGCTTTCCTGTATCCTTTCCAAGTTGTCGGCATGCTTCTTAGCCTTTCATGATTTACACTGTGAATAATTAGTAATAAAAATAATATATTATTATAATAAACCAAACCATGTAGGACCAGATTGTATTTCCTTGCTGACAGTGGAATGCCTTACACTCCTCTGGGTCTGTGTGATGTTATTCAAATATAAATTTGCATAGAAAATACATCTCCATTTCTACCTTCCTGAACTATCAGGCTTGAAATCTCATATTACTAGATATTTGTCCAAGTAGAATGATCCTGCAACTGTTTCCTGGAAGATCCAGTAGTTGGTCTGACTGTCTTTCAAAATTTGGATGCAGGGGACCACATTTAGGCCTAGGTAGACACTTTTGTAGTAGTAGTGAGAGGTGCCCATCACTGTGTGATTTGTCTCTAGCTTCTAGTGCCACCACATGAACATGCTGCTCTCTGCTGAATGCTAGCAAAAAGTTCATTATTCTTCACCTAGAGGCAGGGACTCTTTGGTGGGGTGGGGAGGAAAGAAGCCTTTAAACACAAGTTTCTACTTGATTCATCCCTCTGAAACTTGAAAGGTTACACTCATGGTTAGTTTGACCCAACATTTTTGTCATCTATGAATCAAATGTCTTTTTTTTGGATCATCAAAACTGCTGGTGACAGAACACAGCACACATTGGGGTTCTGCACATATGTGAAATGACAGTGTCATTCTGGTCTTTCCGCTGATGAGTTAAGCACATCCAAGGCCCTTCATGCCTGAGCTGTTATTCATCCTTCCTAGATGATAAGTTGCAGAATACAGATTTATCATCCCTCCTCCTGAATCAGGCCATAGGACAGCAAAAGCTGGTCTATCCTCACTTGCCCGTGTTTGCAGAGTTACTCACCGGCATTGTCTGGCTGCCATGCAAGGCATTGATGGCTGCTTGGGCCTCTGCATGTGAAGAGTATTTCACAAATGCACACCCTGGAAGGGGAAAAAGAAGAACATAAGAAAGGTTGTATGTATACCATGAAAGTCCACCTGTCTTCAGAACTGGCCAGTAAGGATGCTTGTGGAGAAAACATAACAAGCAAATGTGGTCCTGATTATTCCTTTTTAAAGTCCAGTCACCAGCAGCCTGAGGGCCTTTTGAGGCAAAACTGCATCCAGAATTGCCACACTGCTTGTAATGGACACTGATAGAAACAAACTTAACAAGTATACTTTGAATCCACTTATGTTTTGACCTCCACAGCTTCCCATGGCAGTGTTGCACAATTTTACAATTTATTGGGTGAAAATGAATTTTATTTTATTTGTATTGCACTTAATGCTGAATGCTCCTCCCTCTGGGGTTATGAGAAACAGTAAGGAAGTGTATAAAAATTATCAGAAAGCTATACATATTTCTTAGAAAGAACCACAAGCAAAATATACAGAAGACACTCAGGTTACTCCAAACACACAAGGTGCCTTATCATATCACTGGCTGATAGAGCTCCATGACAGACTGCTCAGAGCTTGTCTTGACTCCAAGCAGCTTTGGTCTAACAAAGCATGAGACAGCTTCTGATGAAGGGATGGGAGAGATCCACATGTGATGATTACCATCTTGTCATCACTAGAATTCAAATCTTAGACTTTCATAGCTGCAGACCCAGTGCCTGTATAGATGTTCTCCTTTGGACATTAGAGAAATGTAGTCAGGGCTTCTCTGGCTTGCATTGCCATGTGAGGAATATCACAGTGAACTCTTACATAAGGTTTTAGGGCAGAAAAGTGCATTTATTAATATGTGCTAGAGCACAGAAATGATCAACAATTCGAAGGGTCACATGCACCACTAGAGAGGGGGGATTGTATTGCTAGTGCTCTTAGCTACAAGAAAACTGACTCAGAGAGAGGAAGAATAATTTCAGTATGCTAAGGCAGTTTTTGGAACAAATTGGGAGAGATCTGAGAAGTTCTGGCTTCCATCCCCTTCTATTACTACAAAGACTTTTGAGTTTTTAATCAATTTGCAAAGCCCTAGATGTTTCCCTGAAGGGGTGCAGATCATGAAGCAGGGGATAGCAGTCTTGATAGTGGGATGGCTCTCCTTTATTCCCTTTGCAGCATCTTTAGAATGTTCACACACACCTATGGATCTATACAATGCAGGGTGAAAACTGAAGCATTAGAACACCCCACTTACAAACTAGAAAAATGAGACCCAGAGGTCCCCAAAATCATCACTGCAGGCTGATAGAAGTAAGATGAAAAAACACAGTGATGGCTCCCACTAAAAATAATGCATACATATGAAATTAGCTTATAGTTAGGAGCCCTTCACTTTGCATTACCCTCTCAGCACTATGCTTAGAATCTATTTCAGGAAAAGCACAATTGTTGCTAATAGTTGGATCTAATTTATAAGGAGCTGAGAGGAGACAATCATGAGAAAATGAGATAGATAAACTTCAGCTGGAAACAATAGGGATCAATTATGACATAATCGCAGCCCAACATTCCCAGGCTCCTGAGATACTGCGCCTTCCTCTTCATTAATCAGAGATAATCCAGAATTAGGGTGTTTAATTATTTGCAGAGATTCTTTTGTGTTTTCTGCATCTAAAAGAAGATGCTGATTAGCAAATATACAAAAGCTTTCCAGATCCAGTCACCCATTGTATTTAGAGTAGGATTTCTGCCTGCAGTGTTGCTGTCATGTTGAAAGCTTCACTCTCTTCAGGTGAAATTCACCCCTGTGCTGAGGAACTTGACGGATCAGTGGAGATGGATAAAGGTGGCAATGAAAGGATTAGCAGGCATTTATCTTGTTTAATGTCCAAGATGCTAATGGGATCCCTCCTACTGCTTCCTCTTACTGCTTCCAGTTAGTTTTGAGGTACATGAACAAGTGAAAACTCAGTTTTTACTGGTGTATGGTGGCAAAACAATATTAGAGATCCCAACATTTTAGCCCTTTTGGTTTTCTGTTCAATGGGATGGTTTCTGTACCCAACACCAAATATACTCATAATCTCCTTCTTTCCCATTGTCACCATAACTAACTCCAAGAATTCATGAAACCAGGGACGTGGGTCATGTTACTCTTCTCAGAACAATGATGTCCCTTCAACAGGAGCAGATCTGGAGCTTGAAGGGATTTTGACACATAGAGAGCTATATAACCTATACTGAACAGGCAGATCCATGTGCTTAAGTTTTTTTTCTTGCCTTCCAGATTGTAGATCTGGAAGGGCTGCTCTTACTGTCTTGTTAGGTTGGAGGAGACTACAGAGTCATGGCTTAAGGTTATAATTCAGAGGGTGTTAAGACTCTTCTTGTGTAACTTCTGGTAAAGTGGGAAATTTTTACTTTCTAAGTTACTGAAGCAGGTAACAGCTGAACGAAGGAAAAAAAAAAAAAAGGAAAAAAAGAGGCTGTCCAGAGCAACAGCGCAGACCCTGTGGGTCCTGCTGGCTTGTTGAACTGGCTCCACTTCAACTTCCTCACCTGAGGACTCCTACTGAAGACTCCCGCACTCCTGGCTGCACACAAGTGAGCTGTACCTCGAGGTGTGCAGGAATGATCCTTTCTCTCCCATCTCTACCAGGAGATACAGGCTCCACTTTCCTCTTGAGGCAGAGAAATGTCTCCGTCCTAGCTCTTCTGCCTCTTGATTACATGCTCCAAGCTTGGTGCCTACCCCAGAGTGATTCATGCAGGAGGTATTTCTGCTGCCCCCCGAAGGGCATGGCTCAGGACATCACCCATTGCTTCAGAAAAGATTCACACAGCTTTCTGGATGTGACTGGACTGTGGTGACATGAAAGTGGGAAGCTGGGACCTGTCTTCTGAGAGCATTGCTTGCATTGACCTATCTGGAGGCTCACCACAGGGATGGCTTCACATAATCATTTGGGTAGGATTGAAGTCCATGGGATCTGATTGCTATCTGGCACTTAAACAATCTGCTTAAATCTCAATTTAGGTAAAATGTAAGCATTATGGGTTTTATCCAAACGAAGTAGCTCACAAGACATGTGTGTCACATTGGTTTCTAGCAGATGGAAAACATTATAGACTGGGAATAACTTTGTGGGAGTTGTGGCTTGCCTGACTGTCTCCTAAAATAAGGGCACTAGTCTTAAGTTTTCTGTTGGATTGACCCCTCTGTGTGTGTGTGTGTGTATGTAACAGTATGTGTGTAAATTAGGAGCTTCACTTTCTCAGTAAATAGCACCAGCAAATGGAAGTTGGTGATATTAACTCTGTCAAAGGCTCAGTATTGATCCTGAATAGCTCAGTGAAACTCCAGCCTGAGACTGCAGCCTGCTAGCACTAATAATTAAACTGGTTAGAAATATGAAGCTGCCACTCAGATTCAGACTTATGAAATAGTTTAAGGAAAAAAATAAAATTATAAACCAAGTATGGTTACAAATCTGTGGGCTGGATATCCTTTGGAATCTGTCTCTTACTGATCTCAGATATTGTTGTCTTTATTATTACTCTGTTTAACTCCTTTGTCATTAAATTTTGTTCTGTACAATTCCAGGTGGATGTAGTTGGACTTTTTTTTTTTTTTTTTGCTTTTCCCCAATTTACTGATTTATTCAGTGAATAGAGTGTTTAACTGCCTACCCTTATGATGGTTGGAGCTCTTCTAGGCCAACATATCCTACTGCTTTCCAGTGAAGCAGCCCCTGTCTTTAGGTGTAATGAAACTAAAATAGTCATACAATTGAAGAAAGGTGCCCACAATTTCTTTTCAGCCATTTATACCAGGAAGGCTGAGCTTTGCTGACTTATATGAAACAGCTGCCCTATAATGCTGGTTTGAAGTCTTTTGGCTGCTAGTGATTTTATGGAATAACAGTATCTTTCTCTATTGTATTGCTGTGATTTGGATTTTTTGCCTCCCTGTTGCAAAAATATGATGGTTGATATTGTCACATGTCAAAATACTCAGTGAGATATGAACTGTGTCAGCAGGACTGGTCTCTTCTCTGGTGTTGCACATTCCAGCACAGTTTATGATATATTATATGCCGATCAAGATTTAATGGACACATTATACTGTCAAGAGAAGAGGGCTTCCTATTCAAATTGAACTTACTTTGTCTGGAGACTGATGGGGAATAAAATGACCCTTCTATTCAAGAGAGAAGCCTAATTCTTACACCTGGGCTATAGCAGCAGATCCTTTGTGCTATCCAGATAACAAGAGATGCCAAAAAGTTGCAGAAGGAGGCAAGGCACCTAGCTTTGTAATGAAACATTTTCATGTTTCAAACAGTAAATGTGTACTAAGTGTAATATTTAAATCAGTACCTGTACCCTTGCAACTGTGATCAGTGGACAGTGTGTATCTGTGCAAAGACCAAATAAAGAAGGGGAAGACTTGAAACTGAGTCAGGATGTGAAGCAGCAACCTCAGTCCTGTTTAAAGGAAGAATTGGCTGGCTCAGCTGGATAGGGAGAGCACAAATTGAGCAAATGTAAAGGCCCTGTGTTCAGAGGGGAGGGTCTGCCCTGCGAGAAAATAATAATACACATCAGTTTGCACGTGGTGAGGCATAGCTCACTGGGGGGCATGTACTTTTAAATGCAATCAGATTTTTCCTCTCATGTACAAGCTGACAGCAACCAGCAAATTAATGGCCTCCCTTGGCAAATGTGACCTACCCTAATGTAAGAGATGCTGTCCTGGTGACTACAGTGATGTTGTCACACCAGAAAATGGTATATGCACTGAGATCGGGTCTAGCTTGACAAGCCATCACCTTACCTTTGCTGTTGCCATCGGGTCCCCGAAGGATTGTGCACTCCTCAATGTTGCCGAACGCCTCGAATAGCCTGCGTACATCATCTTCCGACTGCTGCTTATTGAGCATGCCCACAAAGAGTTTTCTGTCTTCTGGAACAAAATAAAGAGATGCTTACCATATTTCAGGAGGGATGTGAAAGCCACAGTGGCTCAGTATCACATGCAAAACAAACAGTGATTTTATTGAGGTGGCATATTTCAGAAGCTGCTAGTCTTTTCAGGTGGCTGACTCAAAAAACCTTAATAGCATTTGACTTTCAGTGTGTATTTGGAAATAACTTGGCAATTTAAAAAGAACCTATACAAACAAACCCAAACTAAAAAAGTTTCGTTATATATAAAATCTTTAACTTCATCTCAAAATCTAGGTGCCAAAGTCTTCCAAATCAGCTTTTTCTGATCAATTTTTGCAGTTAGCTTACAGTAACTGAAACAACATTACACAGACTATGACCTAAAAGGTATATGGATAAAGATACCATATAGAAATAAAATCCAAATGATAAATAGCACAAATTAGTAGCCCTCACAATACTAAATAAGTTGCAGGAAAAAAATGTTTAACATTAGCTGTTTTAAATCAGGATATAATGGAAACCACAGCCTGTAAATGGAGATCTGTCATTAGTACCCACTCACAGACACACACCTTTAAGTTTGGATGAGTTTTTAAATATTTTTAAAGTTCATTTTAAATAAGCCCAAAGTTTTTGAAAATTATATTGTTTTTTGAAACATATAGTTAACTTACATGATTACTAATATCTGAGATAGATCAAGCAGGTGGTATTTCATGTCAAAGCAGGACATGGTCTGCTAGTAGATAACTGTATTTTAAATGAGGAAGGCTATTTATACTTGGACGTATACTAAGTAAGGGGATATTCATTCCAGAATGAAAAGCCTTCAGAAAATGTTGGTGAAAACAGAACAAACTAGTTGGTAGAAAGATCTTGGAGGGCACCAAGTGTTATCTCTAGATCAAGTTTATGTTCAGGGTCTAATACCACCACACCAAGAAAGAAATAAATTTACATAGTTTATATTGTGTATGTAAACAGACCATATACACAATTCATAAATGTCTTATTTATCATTCATTAAACACTATGTAAATGTGTGAACCAAGAGTTTTTTTCAGAGCCGTTTGCAGAGCAGATGTAACCAATTTGAATAAATATATGTAAATAAATAACTAGTTTTATTTTTTAAAATTATTTATTTTTAATGCACATGTTAACCTAAAGCTGAACAAAACATTGGTTTGCAACAAGCCTATTCTGGCTGACTAATTGGGCGATTTATGTCACTTCTGTTCACCAAGAAATCATTGGTGTAGGCAATCTGTTCTGCTTCGCCCAGTGTTTGATCAAAATTTCCCTCTCCAAGATGCACCTGCAAATTGGCAAATTACTTTATAGCCTTGAATGAGGATAATTTTTCATGCAGTGGATATCAAGTGAGGATATTAGGAGCTTTCAATCCTTCAGTTGAGTTATCCATGTGAATGAAAAGTGTACTGCCCACAGAAAACAAGGAGTTATGTTGCTTTCAGTTAGGCTGCTGAAATGGTAGGAAAAATAGGTTGAGGAGAGTACTTGTGCACTTTTAATAGGGTAGAAAAACAGGAATAGCCTTCTGATAGGCATGTTAAAGCAAGAAATATGCCTACTCTGTGTTGGAATTGATTAAGCAAGTGGAGTTTTTGAGGTTGTCATGGTTTAAATCTAGCCAGCAGACAAATGCTATGCAGCTGCTCTTTCGCCCTCCCCCACCCTGAGGGAATGGGGGAGAGAGTCTGTGGGGTAAGGGAAAGGAGTCTTTTAGGTTGAGATAAAAACAATTTAAGAATTGAAATAAAATAGAAGTAAAATAACAACAACAACAATAGTAATAATAATAGTAATAATAATAATAATAATAATAATAATAATAATAATAATAATAATAATAATAATAATAATAATAATAATAATAATACTACAAAATATAAATGGGGAATGCACAATGTGATTGCTCATCACCTGCTGACCGATGCTCAGACTGCTCCTGGCCAGCAATCCCAGAGAGAAGAAAGTTTGAAATCACCATCGCAAAAACAGGAGTGGAGCTTCCCAATCAATACTTATCTATACACTGAGCATGACGTTATGTGATATGGAAAATCCCATTGGTCAATTTAGGTTTGTTGTTTTGACTGTGCTCCCCCAAAGCTTCTTGTATACCTACGCACTAAGAGGCCATGAGAAGTTGAAAAGTCCTTGATTTCTTAGCAACAACTAAAAACATCAGTGTATTATCAACATTATTCTCATATTAAATCCCATGCTGAATCCAAAACACAGCGCTATTCTAGTTACTAAGAAAGGGGGAAAAAAACCCCCAAACGTTTAGCTCTATCCCAGCTGAAACCAGGACAGAGGTCTTTGCTGTCAACACAAATTTCAGGATTCAATGATGCACAAAACCCTAACTAACACTGTGTACATTGTCCCCACTTCAAGAGAAGGTGTTTTGGACATCTGAAAGGTTTGTTTCCTTGATGACCAAACTGACCTGCAAAATGATTCTCAGAGATGAGCTTTAAGCCTTATAAAAGCAGCTGTTGAAGTTGAGTGTGCACTCTGTGGGACATCTTTCAGCCTAGGGCTAGACAAAGCCTTGGAGAAAGAGTCCAGTCCAAATTCCAATGGTTTTCCACATACTGGAGAAAAAAACAGCCAGTGAATGAGACCATCTGTCCTGGAAGATGGTATATATTTTAGGAAGGTGTCCTGGTTGGGGCTGGAATAGAGTTCCTCTTGGTTTGGTAGGTGGAGGCGTGCTGCAGCCCCCTGAGCCCCCAGGGGCTCCCCAGGCCCCAGTGCCCTCACCTGTGTGCGGGGGCGGGGGGAGCACAGCTGGAGGGCTGGGCCCCGATTGGCCAATATCCCATGTCATGTGACACTGTGCTCACTATATAAAGGCAGGAGTGAGCCAGGAGGGGCTCTCACTTCCTGGAGTGTGGCTACGGTGCCTTTGTGTTCGGGATCACCGGCTGGGAGCAGGCGGGTGGTGAGCAGCTGTATTGTACATTGCCCATTGATACTCCTGTCAGCGTATCAACTGCTGTCACTGTTATTAAACTGTTTTTATCTCAACCAGCGAGTCTCCCTTTGCCCCTCCGATTCCCTCCCCATTCCCAAGTAGGGGGAGGGTGGGTGAGCAACTGCATGGCGTTTAGCTGCTGACTGGCTCAAACCATGACAGGAGGGGACAGAGCAGAGCAGTAGGAATGAACTGGGAATACCACTGGCAAAAGTCTTTGTTCAGAAATTTTGTGTCTAGAAAATACTTATAGCACAGAGGAGGTGTCTGTTATATTGTACATTATACACTTTCCCCTGTTTCAAATAAGCTGCATCAGCAAAAATACTCCTATAGCTGTGTAACTGTATTTTCACCAGGATTTTTGCTAATATAAATGTATCATTAAAAAAAAATCACATCCCTCCTCTGTCAGCAAAACTCTCTAGTGTGGAACTGTCCTGAAACTGTCTTGTCTGGTATAATTTATGCAAAACTAAAACCAAGTGTTTTAGGAAACACTTACTATTTTATTTTATTTTATTTTATTTTATTTTATTTTATTTTATTTTATTTTATTTTATTTTATTTTATTTTATTTTATTTTATTTTATTTTATTTTATTTTATTTTATTTTATTTTATTTTATTTATTATTTTTAATTTTATATCCCTTTTCTGCATCCCTGAAGGACACTAGGAGTGGTGATGCCTGTTCCCAGAGCTGGCTGGCAGAATATATGGTGCTTTGGTGAGCTGCCCACAAGGTGGCCATCAGACCACCTGGAACAGGATCTGCCAAGAGTGAAGACCACATTCCCCAGGGACTGCTGGTCCAGCCACTCCAGGGAACGTAGCATGAAGGGGCCCCTATGACCAACCAGGGTCCAGATCTGCCTGGCCATCACCTTCAGCCCTGTCTCCAAATCAGTACCCTGTCTCCCTTCTGAAAAACTGTGCCTTGGGTTGTCAGGGGAATAATTTGTCATATCTACTGTCTCAGAAATCTACACAAACACACACTCAGCTGATAAAAAATGAGTCAGTTTAACAAGCTTTCTTCTTTGAGAGGTCCTTCTAACAAAGTGGTGCATTTACCTTTGATATCCCAGCCTTGCCAGGGAGCTCAGCAGTCTGTTTCAACAACTCCCCTTGTATATCTTGGGTGGGAAGAAAGAGGGAAAGGTCTAGTAGCTGGGACCATTCAGCACGTTCCAGGTTTTGGCTGATGAGTTTATCTTCTAATGGGCTTGTATGAGCCTCTTACACCCTGAGTGACACTATACACTGCTCTTCCAGGTCCCAAACAAAAAACTGACATGCTATGCACCAGGTCAACTACTTCTTCTTTGTAAATATGTCTGAACAAGGCCATGAGGCTTCCAGAATAAAACGAAGAGAGGATATGCTGGTGTCAGTGGGATGTGTCTGAGCACATGCAGACAGCACAGGTGCTCCCCCACAAGATATTTCCAGTGTTCTTGAATGAGAATGGAGGGCAGTACCTTGTACCATTACTCAGGCCACTCTACATCCTACAGAAACCAGAAGTTTAGGCTGCACACAAACCTGCAGCAGTTGCCAGAACAAGCTGTCCCTGAGCTCTGCCTGTCTGTAGGGTGTAGAGTCAATCCCTACCACCCACAGTCCACCAATACCATCCTGCTGAGTCCCATGTTTCCACCCCTTTCAGTGAAACTATCCAAAATCTATGTGTCTTGGGACCTAGATCTGAATTTCAGAACACTGGACAGACTCAGTCCCCCATGACCTCCACTGCCAAGCTCAATGTTGTCATCTTCATTTCAGACCATGGGACTGAGGGGTAAAAAACCTTCATATCAGGCCCCCTTAAGACCAGGGCCCCAGGGCAAAGTGAACACACAGTTAAGGAGAACAGAAATGCCACTGTCCAGGGGCAGAAGAGAAGGACAAAAAGAGGCCAAGGATGAGCCCATGATCTGGGCTGGCCCCAGTATGAGCTGTGTGCTCCAGACTAAGATGACCCATGGCCACGCAAGAGGG